GGGCATGGGCATGGGGATCGGTTTAGGCGTTCCCCACTTACCCCGTGCTCCAGCTAACCTCAGCACAGCCACACAATAGATCCTTTATCTCACCAGCCACATTTCATACCGTAAACTCCACCTCCACCTCGGCCACGTCTACCGACTCCGAGCACGGGGTAGTTAAAGGTATACCTACCTACCTATCAAAGCCTCGATCCATATTCAGGGCCGAGGCTCGGGCTCATGTTGGCATTGCACTGACATCCAACCCTGAACCTTTTTTTCCCAAAACTCTCCTAACTCCTAACTCCAACCTTACCCCAACGAGAAGCTCCCAGACCAAACCCGAACTCTCAACGGCTTCTTAACGTCCACATGCTCACGCGGTGGTACCCTTTGCCTCGGTGAATCGACCGGTATACTTTACGTACAGTTACAACTTATGAACAATTGATCACCGTTTCACCCATCGCGTATCTTCCCACTATCTTCAAATCATGTTCACATCTGCTCGGCGCTGGCTGCGCAACAATCGTACGCCCATTGCTGTCGGCGTGGGCGTCATCGGTGCTGGTTACGTCGCGACGCAATATGTCATCGGAAAGCTTAATGATGCCCGCGAGCGCATGAGCAGCGACCGCATCGCCAAGGAGAAGTAACCATTAACCGTCTGATAGAAGTGACACGCAAACACATGCTGACAGCTCATGACACAGTCTGCGACGTCGCTTCGAACAGAATCAGGAGGACTGCACATTCACCGTCCTGGCTCTCCTGCCCTCCGCCACGACTGCCATTCTCGAAGCCATGAACACGGAGCAGATCACATTTGAGATCCAGCAGATGAAAGCCACCAAGGCTATAAAGAACGGTGGCCCCGAATCTGCACCCCCGCCCAGCATCGCAGATACTACATTGACAGAGGACGATGGGAAGAGCATGGCTGGCCAAAGCGAGAGCGGTGCACAGTCCAGCCAGGCCCCTACATCTTCGCCATTCAACGCCGGCGGCGAAGCGAACAAGGAAGCACCGAAGCCTCGCAAGACGAAGCGACAACTATGGGATGACGTGACCATCAGCGGCGAGTAACAGCCTTGCTCTTCTTGTCTGCCCAGGACTAACACACACTGCAGCGGTGACGCGGTCTTTCACTTTGATATATACCCTTGCGCTGCTTACAATGCTAACTCGCGTTCAACTCAACCTACTTGGCCGAAGAAGTTATCTATCGAGCGTTGTGGCCCTCGCAACAGGTGGCCAACAGGGCACCATCAGTCTTGAGAACAACGATGACGACAACACCGAACAGACGTATGGCAGTGACTTCGACATCAATCGCAAGTACCTAACCTTCAGTTGGTGGCTACTGAACAAAGGATGGGTGGACTTGATGCACCGGGTAGAGAGCGCCGTGCGCACCGTCTTTGGCAGCCTGAGCCCTAGGGATCTTCTGAGCTTTGAGAGGTTCTCCGAGTTGACGACCGAGGTGAGGAAGCTTGTCGAAGGTTCTACCAAGGAGGAGCGTCAGAAGTCAGACTGGCTCAACTTTCTCCTCCCACCCCGGGGCTTGGAAGACGAGGTGATTCGGGAGTCAGGCATCCTCGACGATACATCGAATCAGGGTGGCGAACAGTCAACACCCGCGTCACAGGCAATCCTGAGACGGCTGCTTGACGAGACAGCCGACCTCATTGAATCACCCAGTTTCACGCACGTCCTCACTCTTCTCCTCGACGCAGGTTTTTCCTATCTCATTGATAATAAGCTCGCCACGGCTGCGTTTGAACTCCCGGCCTCAGATGGTATCGTCACTCCCGAACTCAAGGATCAGCAGCGTTCCAAGGTGATTCTACTGCCAAAGATCCTGTCGGTGTTGACACGTCAGGCACATGTCATTGGCGACGGAATGCCCAACGAGTACCTCCAGAAGATGGAGACTGTCCGTGATCTGGAGGCTTTTGCTGCTGTCGTGTATTCAAGTAATTGGGAGCAGGAAATTCGCACAGATGATGACCTGATGGCCAGTGCTGTTGATCTTGGCGCTTCGCAGACAGCTGGTGTCACTAAGGCATCGCAACCACAGACTCAGACACAGACACAAGTCCAAGGTGCACAAGGCGAATCAAGTCTGGTTGTAGTAGACCCTCAGGGGGGCTTCGAGAGCGCATGGGGACGGGCAGTGGAGGACAAGTCGTGAAGAGTATGTGTTCTGGTTGTGTTTGTTGTGTTGCTACATAACTTTGGGAGTCATGGCGGGATTGTTACTTGGAAATCAGGGATGGAGATAAAGGAGCAGCATAATATTGGGAAGCATCTGGGCTATCGAAAGCACAAACAAATGTCACATGTTAGTTATTTAGAGGCGAGTATATGGTGTTGATATAGTTCAGTCGAGTCCGAGGGATCTGGTTTAACAACCCTCCCCCCCTGTATAACATTGATGTCGGAAATGGCGTTTGGTGTAGTCTTCTCTCCTCTTCTCTACTTTCGCATGCCTCCTGAGCCGAACGTGAGGGACATTTCCGGGCTCCTGGTACGGAATTACGCTGCCATGCCGAAACCGTCATCCTATTCGGAGCCGGGCAAACGCGAGTTCCATGTTTGGGTTATGCTCCTAGTGACGGTGAGGCCAGTAGATAAACATCCTTCAAGCCTGCAGCTCTTAGGTCATGTCCGGGAGCGCAGTGTCTCGACCGACTGGGGGGACGTGAGTTTATTTCCCCATCTTAAAGGCCCCATGGTCGTAAGTGGTATTCTCAAAGGTAATGCGTTGAAAAGTGCTGAATATTCCAGCTCCTCCCGCTCACATCAAGCCCCTAATGAACTGATCAAGGCCCAGCTCAAAGAGCTCGTTCTTGACACCATCGCCATTTTTGTGTTCCACAGGCGCCAGGGGGTTCTTGACCACTACAAAGAAAGTTAGCTCAGATGTGACATTTTTCCTGGCTCATAAACCACACCATATTCCACCCATAGGTTTATGTAAATTTGGTGTAGCACATTGCGCATGCTCAAGGTCGCTGTGTCGGTGAGGATAACAAATCTCAAGTTGGCGGGTGTCTCGTAAAAGTGTAGCTTATACTGGGAAGTCCGGTAGCTGATAAATGCATCGTCGTCACCGCCAAGCTTACGGGCCATGTTCCGAAGGGAGAAGACGGTGCCGAATAGGAGCTTTGCATCATCAGAGGATGTGCTCGGAGCAGCGGTTTCGGAGCCCGCTGATGGCGGAAGCCAGGACTTGGAGTAGACGCATTCGGCTGAAAGAGAGGAGAGGGCTGTCAATCGGGAGGTCTAGAGGGGGAAAGGCGAGGAAATTTGCTCACTGTGTCGGTCAAAGATGTGGAATGAATAGACAACCATGATGGAGATTCAAGGGGTTTCAGGTCGACGTCTAAGTTAAACAGACAGCGATGGGTTTGAGTAGGTACTCTTTGAACAAGTTGGCGGGCAGGTATAGCTCGTGTTGATTGAGACTCGAATTCGCGGCAGTGGTGTATAGATCTCGTTGGTCAAGGATGGGAGCCCAGGAGATAGATGTCGAAGCTGATGATATTCCGATGTGTTGTTTTGGTGTAGAGAGAGCTGAGGTCAAGCCTACCTAGGAACCTAACTATGATGGAACCTCCCACCTTCTAGCTTTACCTAAGGTACCTAGGTAACTAACTGTGGCGCCTGTGCCCATCTGGACCAGCCAGGCTGACCTGACTGCAGGTGCAGGTGTTCAGTCCCCTAAGAGACTAAGATAGTGCCCCCACCCCCATGTAAGCAGCTCCCTCAGCCAAGGCTCACTCATTTACTGACGGGAGTCGAAAAAAGGCCTTCCATTTGGTTCGTTCCAGTCCATCCCTCTGACTGGTAAGTTACCTTAGACTAGGTAGGTAGGTAGGTAGGTACCTTACTTACATACCTGTAGCTCGACCACCAAATGATATCGCATGGCACTAACAATCGCTCTTTAAACCCAATTTTTGTCTATCGCGCTTCTCTTCTTCCCCTTTGAACCATTTTCAATTGGGGAACACACGTACATACTCAAGGTGCTTTGCGGTAAGGTACCTTGCCTTGTCAGAAGAAACAATTCCTGTTATACTGTAGCATATCGGTTTACCGCGGGGTGCGGGGCAACATCACTGACTGATTGAAAACATTAGTCTATCGAGTTCGGTCTGGTCAATACCAATCCGCCCGACCTCATATCTTTGTCTGGGCGTAGCGCATCGCATCGCATCGCATATCAATCATCCTTGACAATGGACGCAGAAATTCATCCAGAGATGAGACCATCGTTCACTTTCCCTTCGCCTCAAGTCAGAGTCGACCAACATGACGATGGCTCTGGCGATAAACCTCCCCCACCACTCGTCCATCACCTGTAAGTCAGACTCAACTCAATCTTTGAATGCGCCCAATGGGTCAGTTGACAATCGCATGAACGAAGGACGGAACCGACAGAAGTTCTTCATTTCTCGAGTCCTCTCCGGCATCACAAGAGAACCCCAAGCGCCCATCGAGAAGTCAAGGTGCGAAACTATCACTAGCATCAAGCAATGTCTTATTGGGCTCACCAGTTCCACAGGAAACTCTTGATGCGCAGACACAGTTTGGGGATGAGGATGCCGATGGCTGCTCCCATCATCGAGTAAACCAGTATACAATCTTGGAAGAAATCGGCAGAGGTTCTTATGGCGCTGTTCATCTTGCAAAGGACCAATTCGGAAATGAATATGTGAGTATTATACCACCAAGCCAGCTGCCCGCCCAATTCTGTCTCCGACTTACACAGCCCCAGGCCGTGAAAGAGTTCTCCAAGGCTCGACTCAGAAAACGCCTCCAATCCACTATCCTCAGACAGGGTCCTCGAGGCCCAAGGCGTATGGGCCCTGGCGGTCGAGATCCCTTCAATTCAGTGCCCCGGGTCAAAGACTCCAATGATGCCCTCCACCTCATTCGAGAGGAAATTGCCATTATGAAGAAACTAAACCACCCCAATCTAGTACAGCTCTACGAGGTTCTTGATGACCCCGAGGAAGATTCCATCTATATGGTCCTAGAGATGTGCCGAAAGGGTGTCGTTATGAAGGTCGGCCTTGACGAACACGCCAACCCCTACCCTGAGGAAAACTGCCGCTTTTGGTTCCGAGACCTTATATTAGCTATTGAGTATCGTGAGTACAGTCGCATCAAACCCCAATTCTTCTGAGATGCTAACGATATGCTGCGTAGTTCATGCTCAGGGTGTCATCCACAGAGACATCAAGCCAGATAACCTGCTCTTATCTAACGATGACGTGCTCAAGGTCGTTGATTTTGGAGTTTCTGAGATGTTTGAAAAACCCGAAAACATGAGAACAGCAAAATCTGCAGGATCACCCGCCTTTCTTCCCCCTGAACTTTGTGGGAAGCATGGTGACGTGTCGGGCACCGCTGCTGATATTTGGTCCATGGGAGTTTCGCTCTACTGCCTCAAGTATGGGCGCATTCCATTCAACCGTGACGGCGTCTTGGACATGTACGACGCTATCAGGACCGATGAACCTTCCATCCCCGAGGACGAGAACCCGGACTTTGTCGACCTCATGCAGAAGCTACTCAACAAAGACCCGGAGCAGCGCATAACCATGGACAAACTTCGAGTAAGATGTCCAGACCTTGCGAGCGTCCCAAGTAACAGAGCTAACACCTAAGCAGGAGCACCCCTGGGTCACCAAGCAGGGTACGGACACTCTCCTCTCCGCTGAAGAGAACTGTGCCAACATGGTGGAACCTCCAAATGAGCTTGAGGTTAACCGTGCCTTTACTCGCAAGATGAATCACCTCCTTTGCGTCATGAAAGCCATCCATCGCTTCAAGTCCATTCTGGCCAAACACCGGGCCAGATCTAACAGTAGCCCGCGTAAAGACGGCGAAGGTACCTTTGACGCGTCCCAGGAAAGGGCAAAGGCAGAGGTGATCGAGGCGTTGCTGTATCAGCGGCGCAAGTTTCTGAATCAAAAGAGAGATGAAGGCAGCCAAATCCCGCCAATACACGAAACTGTGGGAAACAATACCCCATTCTTGGGAATCGGCACAGGAACAATGGACGAGTTCGCTTCCAATGAGGCTACTCCAGATATGGTTTCCGATTCGCCAACGGCAGTTGACTTCAACGTGTATGACCGAGCGTATGAAACTGCTATAGAGAACATCACGTCTGGCCAGAATGATTCTTCAAGAAGACCGACAGTATATTTGACCAAGTTCGTCAAAGAGACACATAAACTGAAGGGGGTCCCTGGGCTCACTGGGAGTGAAGAATTCTCCGAGAATTCAGATGGCCAACAGAAATCGGGGCCCGCAGCCAAGCTTTCGCACCTCACATCCAAGCTTGGCCTCTCAGGGAAGCAATAAGAACAAAGTTGGGACTTGATATTGGGAATAAAGCTAGACCTTCGGGCAAGGCTACGCGTTTGGAAAGCACGTTGTACCATTATGGGCTGCAGGTGATAACAACATGACTGGTGGTGGTGGATCAAATGCGGTGGACTGTTTTAGAAGCTCAGTGATAACGATAACACAAGAGATACATGTGAGGAAGCGTGCTCACCGTGTAAAACGACTGCTGGATGCAACCGGGGTAATATTCCGAAGTAAAGCAAACACCCTCATGTGCAGCAGTAGTAGTGTGAACTGCGGGCCAGTACGAGTAGCGGTGCAGCTGACAGATTCGGAGCCTCAGCAACTCGACCACATGAAACATGGGATAATAATATGTAAAGATGAGAATCAGGTATGCGGTGAGACTCCTCTATTTCGGCGTTGTCGGGCAGCCAGGCCTTTGGTGAGGTGCACAGCTGCCAAGGCAGCCGAGCCGCTCTCGAATCCCACCTCCAACAATAGACTACAAGATCTGAAATCTTATCTTGCACGAATTACAAAACGAGGAGCGCAGGCAGGGGTTTCGAGCAGTCGTAGCCAGTAGATAAAACATCTTGACAAGATATCGAGCCTGATACGCCGGTTCCATGCTGGCCGATGAGGAGATAATTGTCCGAGCACGGCTGGCAGGAAGGGGTCTGCCAATCTCGACAACGTAAACTCGCCAGAACAGTCAACGGTGAGTGTCAGTCAAGATTACCTTAGTCGCGGCAGCGGGATGCTCTCCCGAAGACGGGATATAAAAAGATCGGGATGACTACCAAGGTACATAGTCGTCTACTTGACCATGCATAAGTGGGTGCCACTGTACAGAAAGGCACCAGGAACACCCGGCGCCACGTGGAAACCGTTGCTCAAGGTGTCACTATACATCAAGTGTACTATCAAAGCTCAGCAGCCAACCCCTCTTGGGTTGCGATTGATGGCCACCAACATGCTGCTGTGGGACACAATTGGGTTGATTATGGATGTATGTATGTTGCATGGCCCGTCCGTCCGTCGCGTCCGTGTGTGTCGCTATCTGGCAGGCAGGGTCTAGGTAAGTTAGAGGGTCAAGATGAAAACTTCGATAAGCTTGTGCGGGCTACAGGGATAGATTAGTAGATAGATGCTTACAATACCTTAGCTTTTCAGCAGCAGAACCAGGGCTGGCTTGACGGGGAGCCAGTGAGCTCTCAGCGATAGAGCACGGGTAGGTAGTCTAAACGGTGAAGGCACTTTGTTGTCGGTGTAAAAGATGCTGTGTAATAAGGTGTTTGTTTGCCTGCCGCCTGGATGTATGGATGTAAATCAAGACGGTGTGACGTCAGCACACGAGATAGTATGTAAGTGCCTTACCTTAGTAGGTGGATTAATCCAAATATCGAAAAGATTGCGCGCAGTCTACTTACTATGCAGTATGTAGGTAGGTAGTCCTTGATATCTGTCGTTTGCTAATGCCAGACCAGGGAGTCGCCGAAATATTTCGTTTTGCCTAACGTTGATGTTGCGATATCCACTCCACCCCTCCTGGGTGCTGGTGTTGGAGCATCAGGCATCGTACTCACTCTGAACTGTACCTCTCTGGTAAATACCTAAATGTTGATATGTGATGGAGGCGGGTCGAGCGGTGAAGGCACTCCATCATGCGCATGCTCTGTTCAAGCTGCCTTATCCAATAGTCTAGGTATGAACAGAAGAAAGATTCCTTGTGCAAGGAAAAGCCCATGTCAGTTTCTCTCCCTTGATAGAAATCGTCCAGAGACATTGGCATTCTTGATTACCTTAATTATATGTATGTACGTAGTCCAAACACTGGTCGCTAGAACACATGGAACAATCCTTATGTGTGATAAGGTTTTGTTTCTAAGACCAGCTTACAAGGATGTGCAAGCTTTCACCCCTGCAGGCTGGGGGTTACGCTTAGCAGAACCCTTATTAGGTTGAATACCACCTACCATGTCGATCAAGCTGTGCAATTCGTGATGGTTGCATGCAACAAAGTCGGCAGCCCTGCTCAGTGCAAGAGCTTCAACAATAATTACATACCTACCTACCTGAGGCAGTCAGGTGAGGATTACATATACATATTACCCGGCTGCCCAGCACCAAGCTAAAGTTCAACAGATCGGCATTCCGACTTGATAGGCCCCGTCGGAATATATATGTACGAAGTATCCGTATTTTCGGGTACCTCAGTTAAGGCGGATAGGATGTCAAAGTCGGAAGAAGCACTCGGAAAAGTCAGCTCTTAGGTTTGCGCAACCACCCAAACTAATAGACCCTTGAAGCTTGAGGGACGCGGTTCCGAGCAATCTGGAGGCCTCCACTTTGTGAACAAATCTCACAGAAAAAAAGGGCCAGATTGGATGCGTTGGCTGGCAGAGCTAGCTCCATTAAGGGCTAGTGGGGATGAAAGAGCCCCAGACTGTAGGTATGTACTAAGGTACTAACGTCAAGTGTCAGGAAGAGAGGATTCCCCAAGTGATCTTGGGGGGTGCATATGCGTGAAAACCTAGGATACAGTACCTACCTTACCTACTGTACTATTGCCAAACAAGAGAAGAGCGGCAGCAGCTCAGCAGCTCAGCAGGTCATGCCGCTTTGTCACATTTTGTGCGGATGTGTGGAAATACCTCACAGTGCACTTTTGAGAATCCGGTACAACAAAGGGAATGAGTTCATTGAGGTGTGTGTGACTTGGGCCTCCTGTTTCCTCCCACTCGATGGTGTTGCTGTCTGTCAATGCTATCTACTTCATCCATTGCTACCACGATTATTCATGCTAGTAGCAGTGTTGCGCCGTTCACAGGGACAAAACGTTCACCCGCAGCTTATTAATCACTGTTTTTTTACTGACTCGGGTGAAACTGCAAAGGATATTGGACATATCAAGACGTACATGTTTGATACAGATGTGTCTCGATGCCAAGCTAGCCGGGCTGTGTTTTGGGCGCCTGGGCAACCCTAGGAGAGGAACAATGGTCTCTTCGGTGCATGAGATTGACGATACAGGACAGGTCGTTTAAATACCTATGTAGTTGTAGCTCTAAGCTGGGTTTTTTCTCCCTTTCCCGTCTTCGAATCGGATGCAGCCACCTTTCCTACCTTACATGTACCTACCTAGTAGCTACTAAGTTAGCAGGTACTTACCTACTATATAGGTATTCATTCATACTCAACCGTCCAGTGTCTGGTTTCTTTGACGACGTTGAAACATTTCCTTTCCTGAATATCCCCCAGTACGGACAGTCTTGCACAAGATCCTGTCAGTGTCTCAAATGGCAGACCAATTCATGATAATCATGATATACTCGTCTTCTTCCTTCTTCACACACAAATCCATTACATTTGCAGGGTTCTGCAACTAGCTGATGCCAATGTTATAGGGCCAGCCAATGATCTGCCAGCTATAATCCATACCTTGAAGTGGGCATGGACCACCGAGTACAGAGGAACTTTACCCTGAGAACCTACAAGTAAAGCCCCATACTGAAAATGAAGCCTCAGGAGAATGCGAAAGCACATAGCTTTATAATCTGAATACCAAAACGTTATCAATCGTAAGAGACTATCTCTGAGGTTGGTTTGACATACTGATCGTGGGCCATTTTCATGAAAATTCGACACCATGAACACATGTCTTGGCAGGTTAATAGGTAGGTACCTTACCTTTATCTGAAAGATTGATTGATTCTTATCCAAGGACTGGAATCGACGATCCCACCCAGACTACCCCATGTTTCTCTATCTCTCTTTATTGCTACTAGTTAATGTTTCATCATGAGTGAGGAGACAATCGAGAACCTCAAGAACAGAACAGAACCGTTTGCAAGTAAGTCCTGGACCAAGAAGTTCCCGCCTCAAAGGTACATTTCCACTACTACAGTAAACTAGCAGACTAGCAGACTAGCGCTGTCATCACCTCCACAATTCCGACATCCCTGCCCTGTCTACCTACCTACCTAGCCAGATCTCTGTCCCTGCCCATGCGCCATTTCTTGGCATTGGATTTCTGCTAAACTACCTAGGTACCTAAGGTACCTTATAACAGTTAGGTCACCTTAGTTGGCTGGGGTCAGCACCAGACCAAGGGGCAGGCACACATCCAACAGCCCGAATATCAAATACAAAAAAGGCTTGAGCAGACCAGGCCGGCCTTCTTGTCACGGAATCAGGAGGGAAATGTTGCGACGAATTTCCATTTCTAAAGACAGATCCATGTTGCAGCTGGAATATTCCATGACTGAGCCGTTGATTTCGGCCTGCCTGTGTCTGTGTGAGGTTCGGATAAGCCTCGAACAAGCTGGAAATCAAAACCACTCCTAGAGCTTGGTCAGCCAAATCATCCATGGCACATGTCAGTCAATGGGCAGTGGAGGTCGAGGACGTGATATACAAACCACCATGCACCTACCTACCTTACCTACTGCACCCACACCTAGGTACTTTTCGAAATCTCCTTATGCAGTTTGGTCGTACAAAGCACCCTTACATATCCGTACTCCGTCCATATATATTAACGACGTGGTCGTTAAAATCTCTAATCGCGGCAGGTTTTCCTTTTGCTACCAGGGCAAATTCTGGCCCAGCCATTGCTACCTAGCCAAGCAGCCTACCTAAGGTACGGTAGGTAGACAGACAATGCCCATTTTCGAATCGTGAGACGCTTTTAGAGAGACGACGGGAAGACGGCGGCCAGTTAAACCTTTTAACCCCCCCGAGGGGTACCCGCAGAGATGCAGCACCGCACCGCACCACACCACAACACACCGCATCGACCGTTGAATTGCATCGGCTCTGTTTTGAGCTGGTGTTGTTCATTATTGGCGCTAACCAACGTTGAATCTGGCGGTACGGGCACGGATAGAAATGCGGCAACTGTTACGGAGTACAGCACCGAGTACCCAGTCTACCCAGTCTACAGTGCCGCTTCAAACATGGATGCTCGAAGAATTAATAATGGATCGCACCTAGGTAGAAGGAAACCAAGCTACCTGCCAAGCTACCAAGCATCAGTACGGAGTAAAGGTCTAAGTGAACCAAGCCCTGGTGCCCCTCCGCCGCCGCCTCGTCATACCACAATGGAACGGATCAGTACCGCGCGGCTGGGGACAAGAACTTTGTCTAGTGCCTCGCCTCTCTGTACATACAAAATGCGATGCAACGCGACGCGATGTAATGCAATGCAATGTACTGTAATGCCTTGCACCGCCATGCCGAAACAGTCACCACGTCCTGTCGTGTGGTTTGACCCATACTCCGCACCTCGTCTCGAGTTGTTATTGATTCTGTCGTATAAGGAAGGTATTGTACTATAAGGACCGGATCTCTGCCTGCCGGTGCGGTGCGGCACAAGGCTCACAAATCTGCCGTCATACATTTAGATGCTCACCTCGGTATCCCTGATTGGCTCGCTGCTCTACGTCACGCCGTCTGTCTGGGTTTATGTGCGCTGGACAACATGAATACATGATAAGTATGTAGATAGGTAGGTAGAAGCGTTTGGTCTGTCGGAGACTAATACATGAAAGCACGCTCGTCCCCAGTGTCTCGGCCCCAAAGCTTGGCTGTACATGTTTTTGGAGGTCCGTGGTTAATTTTTTCGGTGATAATAACAGATGAAAAGACAAATAGAGGTTCAATGAGAGGTAGAGAAGGGTATGTACCCCGTACCAGAACCAGAACGTACCGTACTTCATGTGTGCCCCTGTTGGATGACAGGCGGGGCTCGATGGTTCCCGGCTCGAGGTACTGTGCCGTCTTGGCCCAGTTCACAAGAGACCTGATGCAGCGGGTCTGGCTGTCATCCAGAGTGGCATCGAGGTTGAGTGAGGGTTCCCCTTTCTGGTACCTGGAACTCATGACGCTACATCATGACTGCCATCCCTTGAGGTAGTCAGGCAGTCTACCTGTACTTTTGTCCGCGGAGTAGCGCTGGTGGCCCCTCCTTTCATGATGGGGTTTTCTGGTGAGGTGAGGTGAGGTGAGGGCCAGGGCTCACGCAGACGCCCAGAAAAACCCTTGGCTGCTGTGGCAGATTCCGGAAATAATTGAGTGACATAAGTTAGACGAGAGATCGTTTGAAACATCGGATTGGGTGATCGACCAGCAGAGCTGTCGTGTTTTAGTACGGAAATATGTCCTTCTGACCACCGTCAGATGCAGCTCCCGGCCCTCCTTGCTTGAAGCAGCAGAAGTGAAGCGCTTTTGTTCCTCTGTACCGGGGGCCAGCCAATGCACTGTACCTCCGAACGTGAATTATAGGTAAAGGGCATGATGAAACTGAGATTCAGTCAGAAACTGACTGAGGTATGAATTTGCCGATGAAGAACCTGATGTAGGTATAGTACCTAGCCTGGAACTGGTAATACCTTAGACTAAGGTATGTATGTATGGGAATGCATGATCAAAGAGACCCATATGATGCCGGCGCCGCTCCGGCTACCTTTGTACCTACCTACCTACCTTACCTTGTATGCCCGGCTTGCTTCTAGGAGTCTGATGTTGATAGGTGTTGATGTCTACTACCTAGGTTAGCAGTGCCCTTATTTACCTCAGTTACCTATGTAAGGTAGCTTTCGAATTACTGGCACTGACGAAATGCTTCTTATTAGAGATGGCCTTGGTGATGGGCAATGCAATAACTGGTGAATAATAGCCGCTTGTCCTTGTGGCATCCAATCCAATCTTGCCCGCTCCATTTCTCCAGGGCCGAGTCCTTGTGAGTGCTAGGCAGATTACAGCCCGAAAGACGGAACTATAATTTTTTTTTTAAAATTTTTAAATTTTTTTTAAATTTTTTTTCTCGTTCTTACAGCGGTTCCATCCATGAGGTCGGGTGCTAACTATCTTACTAAACAAGTACCTGCCTGCCTATGGATCCATTATCTAGGTGCCCTCGGGTTAACCTTACAGGTACATGCGCCTTCATAATATGCATCGCACAGCGTAAAGTACTCGGCAGTACTGTTTGTCACTTACTCACTGCATCTGCATCTGGGGTCTGTTTTATTAAATTAAATTTGGGACAGATCGTTCGAACTCTTGACTGCTCAACAAGTTAGCCTTGTTTAACAATTCCCTTCCTACAGTACCTTAGCAGACTGACCCTGCCTAGGCCTAGGCCGTTGAAGAGGAGGCTACCTTACCTTAGGTACTCGAAACCCTCACTCACTCACTATTTCTTCTTGCCTTCCGTCGTCTTAAAAATTCCCGCTTCCCTTTTTTCCCACCATTACTTCTTTTCACCGTCCACTATTCCTCTCTACCCTTCATCTCCGTCTTACCCTTGCTCCTGTCCTGCTTTGTCTGGCAGTCGCATACAAAGATTGCTCGCTCCCCTCATCTTTTGTCGTTGGTATAGCTGCAGCTGCACGGGCTTCAGAGCCCATCAACGCCTGTAGGCGTTTGTTCCATAGTGAACGCTGCCACTGGGGAGGGCGACAGTTTCCTGTGTTCAGCTTGCAGCAGTGGTCGAGGAGCTAGGCTGTTGAATTCAAAATTACCTCTCGCCTCGTCATCGTGACCCAGCTTTACTACAGGTTGCTCCGTACGAGCTCCATTTCAATACCTTTTTACCTTACCTTTCTTCGCGACGAATAGTGGTCCGCTGCCCCTACCTAGAAGCCGACATCCTTCCGTGACCTGCACCCGCCTTGTCTTGGCGTTCGGCATCATCATCAGCCAAGAAAGACTTCACTTGCGGCTTTGAGCACCACCTCGGACTGTCCTCTTTTGCTCTCTCTTCCCTTTTTGCCGCTGTTGTTGCTGCTCCGCTCAGCTCGATAGCTCTACCTCGGAATAAGCTCTTTGTCGGCATTGTTCGGGTCCTTCATTCAACTACATCGGTCCTACCAACAACAGAGCGGAACAGACACAGAAACCCGCCACTCTTGGTACGGGCTTTTTAGCCACTATCAACACCTACAATCCGATACCTACGCTGCAGTACTTGCATACTGTACATTTCAGTCCAATACGTTTTGCCGCTCGCCTTTTGCTTCGCCTCATCTCCACCCCCCGCCAAGATCGGTAACCCAAAGACAACTCAGATATCCCCCACTGTCCTGTTTTTGATCACTCGTCAATCTCGTTCTGCGCTGCGCTGCGCCATTTGGCCAGAAACTAAAATCTCGCGCTTCTGCGTTCGGCACTTCTGTTGTTACCTGGCTTACTGCTGTACGCTGGCTTAGGTTGCCTGCCAACTGAACCGTTGCTTCTAGACTTATCCGTTGCGCAACAGACCCTTGCTCGAGTCGTGCTCGCTGACGCCTGTTTCTGGTGTCGCACCAGGTCGTCGCATATTCTTCCGTCACTTTATTTTCTCGACTCTTCGCCGTAAATATCCTCACCAACAACGCCCGAGACAGTGACTCTGGTCTCGTATTCACTTCCAAAAATGCCCACTGCATCTGGTTCCTCAAAACCGCCCTCCGCATCGAGCTCGAAACCATCCTCGGTTAAATCTCAAGATGGCGTCAAGAAGTCCCCTGGTCTAGCACCACAGAATGGTGCAACTACTGATAATGAACATCCTCCCTCAGACACGCATCTCAAGCCAACAGCCTCAGTAAAGAACCGTCTCACCCGCATGTTCTCGTCCAAGGATACGTCAAGAGTTCCGACCCCCGCCCCTTCGACTGTCGATTTACCTAATCGCCCGCGGGCTTCTTCCACAAACGGCACCTCTACACCCGCGGCAAAGACTTCGTCCACCGAGAAGGGTAGCGACAGGGCTTCGCTCAAACCGACTGACAAGGCCACGACACCAGCCAAACCAGCCACGAAATCGACCAGTGGCAAGGAACCCTCTCAACGATTTGTTCTAAATCTGGAAGCACAGGGCGGCCATGAGCATCATCTAAAATCTAGTCGACGTCAGGAAAAGCTCTCGGATATGTGGAGAGCGATCATCGGCAAGAAGCAGGATGCAGCCGCTGAGCACGATCTATCGCTCGTTTCAAATTGGGTGGATACACTACAACAAGAAAAAGAAGAAGCTGGCGATAGAAAAGGTGGGCCCAGCGCAACGACAACCCTGGTCGAGAAATACGGCAAATGCCAGGAGGTGGTTGGCCGTGGCGCTTTTGGCATTGTTCGAATCTCCCACAAGAAGATTGGTGGCAGCAATGAAAAGCTCTTTGCTGTCAAGGAGTTCCGACGCCGACCAGAAGAGACAGAGAAGAAGTATAGCAAGCGACTCACAGCCGAATTCTGCATATCATCCTCGCTTCGGCATCCCAACGTTATTCACACACTCGATTTGCTTAAGGATGCCAAGGGCGACTACTGCGAAGTCATGGAATTCTGCGCTGGAGGAGATTTGTACACTCTCGTTCTCTCAAGTGGGAAGCTCGAGGTACAAGAAGCCGACTGTTTCTTCAAGCAGATGATGCGAGGTGTAGAATATCTTCATGAAATGGGTGTAGCGCACCGTGATTTGAAGCCAGAAAACTTGCTCCTGACGACCCGTGGCGCCCTCAAAATTACGGATTTTGGCAACGGAGAGTGTTTCCGAATGGCTTGGGAGACAGATGCGCATATGGTATCTGGCCTATGCGGTTCTGCTCCATACATTGCCCCCGAGGAATACACGGATAAGGAGTTTGACGCCAGAGCTGTAGATGTGTGGGCTTGTGGTGTCATCTTCATGGCAATGAGGACAGGGCGACACCTTTGGCGACTGGCCAAGAAGGACGATGATGAGTTCTACGCCCGTTATCTGGAGGGTCGCCGTGATGAGGAGGGCTACGGCCCCATCGAATCTCTTCATCGGGTAAGTTCATTCAATGCGATAAGGACCTGAGGTACTGTGCAGCCCGTGCTAACTATGTACAAGGCGCGATGCCGCAATGTCATCTACTCCGTTCTCGACCCCCACCCGACTCGACGCTTGACGGCCGCTCAGGTCCTTAAGTCAGAATGGGTACGTGAGATCAAGCTATGCAAGGCTGGTGAAGAGGGTCTATGAAGAAGATGGTGAGGATGCCGGTCAATTTGGGGACTCTCAACTCGAGCGATTCAAACTCGATGAGTAATCGACTTGAGCAGGGCCTACGGTAACGGACCAACTACGAAAGGGACTTCTAGAAGGATGGCCAATATCGAGAGGGCGGGAATAGCGGGTTGGCGTTGATGGCTGCGTTTGGCGAAGCAAGCCACGTCAAGCCACTATGATGATTCGACGACCCATCGTTTGGACTATTTCTTTTGTTATTTTAATCGAGCAATGGTGTTGGGCGTATTGTAAACAGAAACATCGACTTTTTTTTTTTCTTTCCTTTATAATCATTTTCAAGCGTATCATGTCCTGGCAGGGTGGCGGTTCCTTGCATTTATGATACAGGACGGCAGGGCTTGCTAATAACCCAGGGGCTCGATGGAACAGGGAGGCTCAGTCTATTCACCCACCAAGTCAATTTTTGTTACAGGAGGCTACGTTTTCAAGTCAGAGCGCGCGATGGTAGAGATAAGGCAGGGCAGGACGGTGCAAGGCAAACACGAATGGATATGAATCATGGGAAGAAAGAGAAAGAGACCTTTGGTAGGCCAAGAGGTCTCAAGCCGAGCAGACAGGAAGTTCAGTTCAGTTCCAAAGACATCTATCTGGTTTTGGATATGTCTGTCCCCAGAGGTCAAGAAGAAAAGAGGCGTCGATGATATATACTCCTGTCATCGAGACCCAAGAAACATGAAGCAAAGCAGAATAGACAAGACGTTGTTCTCATGTCAGCACAAAGATGCCAAGAGCACATATCCTAGACTATCTTCTTCTCTCCTGGCTCAGTCCCCGTGACTTCATTGTGATGAGAGAGGCACGTTTCCGCCTCTCAAAGCATCCTCCGACTCCGGCACCATCCTGACTATCGGCACAGGTAGCCGGTGACATGATTCGCCATAAACTACCTATTCAGACATGCCTATTCTGACCTTGCCTACAAAAGTGTTGATATCGTGAATCGGATAGCCTATCCGGTGTAATTCGCAGGGGGATGTTACGGGAGCATGTTCCGAGTCTTGGTGAAAACCCTCCAAACCCAAGTATCGTCGCATTTGTCGCTCAGCAGTGACACAGCATGGTAGCCAAAGGTAACCTCTAGCTCATGATGTAACTGATATTGCTGGCTGTTCCTCAGATAGGCAGCTCAAGTTCCAGAGTCGGGAAACGATAAATAGCTAGGTATATAATCACCCCATCATCACATCACACCTATAGTCTACTGACTTCAAGTTTACCATCCTCACACTTTTCTGGTACATACACACACACCCTCTCTTACAAACGCAGGCGATGGAACAATACGATGTCGCCGTAGCTGGTCTCGGTGCCCTCGGCAGCGCCGCAGCTTACCATGCTTCCATCAAAGGCGCCCGAGTTGTCGGCTTCGAGCAATTCGAGCTGGGTCACGTTCACGGCGCTTCGCACGATACTTCACGCATTGTCAGAACCTCATATGGGTCTCCCGAGTTCGTCGCCCTCGCTCGGTCAGCTTACAAAGACTGGGCCGAGCTGGAGAGGCGGTCGGGGATGAAGATGTTGACTATCACGGGAGGCGTTGTCTTTCTCCCACAGAAGGGACCGACGCCATCGAGTGACTTTACTACTAGTCTCGATGCCAACGATGTCCCCCATGAGCTTCTTACGCCCGAGGAGACCAACAAAAGATGGCCTGGGTTCAATGTCCCTCAGGGAGCTGATACTGTCTTTACCCCTGATTCGGGCATTGTTCACGCCGCAAAGGCTGTCATGACGCTCGAGTTCCAGGCTCGCTTCAACGGCGCCATTCTCAGGGAGAACACACACGTCGAGGCTGTGACGCCCCAGCCCAGCGGAGGCGTAGCGATTGAAACGTCTCAAGGCGTCTATCACGCTCGCAAGGTCATCATCGCTGCTGATGCATGGACGAACAAGCTCCTCAAGCCACTCGGCGTTGAGCTCCCCATCACCGTCATGCAGGAGCAGGTAACCTACTTCAAGCCCTCTCGCGAGCATGAAGCACAGTTTGCAAACGACAAGTTCCCCGTTTGGATCTGAGGAGGTGAGAAGTGGTTCTATGGCTTTCCCCTCTACGGCGAACCCGCTCTCAAGGCTGGCCAAGACGCTGGAATAAACGACATGGATCCTGAAGAGCGTACCTGGCGGCCCTCAGAGAGACTGAGCAACAAGCTCAACGGATTTCTGGATAGGCTCATTCCCAAGCGAGGCGATGAGCTGAGAACCGTCACCTGCCAATACACAATCACGCCGGATCGACAGTTCATCATCAGCGAGTTAGAGAAGCACAAGGATGTTATTCTCGCTCTCGGTAATGCCCATGCCTTCAAGTTTGCTCCGGCTATCGGCCGAGTTACTGCTGAGCTTGCATTGGATGGGAAGACAACTGATGACATATCAAAGTTTGGGTTTCCCAAGACAACACCCAGCAAACTGTAGTCAGTCCTTGATGGGCCGGATATGACCAAGGAAATGATTAGAACAAGAGGGGTCCTTTGCAGAGGTTCTACGTCTGTGAATTCAATATACTATATGTGTTATGTACGTCTTGTATATTCGGACCACTCATGATATATATGAATAGGGTGTTTTTTTTTTTTTTTTCGTTTCTTTTTTTTCTTATTTCTTTTTGTAACCAGATTACCTGTATTTCAAGGAATGGATTATCTATGTCACAAAGGAAACTACGGAGACTTGCGAGCCAAGTATCGCTTTGATAGTTATGTCAATCCTGTTTGGAATTCCATCCTATTTCCAAGCCCTTCCAGTACACCACGCGAGGTCTACAAAGACCATCGCGAATAATAGATCCAAGCAAATCCAGGCCAATTCCAGGCCAAAAACGACACAAGTATGCAAGAAGAAGAAAAACATAAATCAAACCCCCTTCATCTTGCTCATACCCGGGATCTGGCAGCCCACCAGACCAAGCCGTTTCCAATAACCAAATACAAGACGAGAATAGATAAAAATAGAATAAAATAAATAAAGAGCCACGGCCGGATATCTGCCTTGTCCCCGTCCCGATGTTGCGAAGCATCCGTTGCGATTACTTCAAGAAATAGCAGAGCCCCATGATCAACAACCACACTACAGCCCAGTCAATCGATAAGTGGATGGTGCTTTGAACGAAGGAGTAGATTGTTGATGTAGGTTTGTTGCCTCTGAACATTCGGAATATCGACGCGCAGTATTCATAGCGTCGTCAAGATTTCCAAAAACATTATGTCCACCCAATGAACCTCGAGTTCCGCGAACCGCCGTATCATCCAACCTTTTAAAGCCGATCCGGACGTATACCACACAGTAAGATGGTTCAAGTAATAAACAGAAATAACGCCTGGATTATTAGGCTGAGAAAATGACCAAAGCGAGCTGGCCGTTGTAGTAAAGATTATTGTTGATTATTATCTTTTGAGGCCTTACGAGTGAAATAGATCCCACGCGCGTTCACATAATCGGATAAACTCTTCCTTCTTGGCTCGCTGGGTTTCTGGGCTATCGCGTCCAGCACCAAAGGGCCCACGACGAGTGGGAGCAGGTCCGTGGCCCAATGGTGGGCTGCCGTCCTCATATTCAGCGCGCGTCCTTCGCCTGCTGATGCTAGCGCTTCGTGAAGCATCCATAGGTCGACTGCCGGGAGCAGGGGAAGGGGGTGTCGGGGGCTGGTGTCCACCATAGTGAACAAGCTTAGGCAGGAGTTCCGGCCGCCCACCAGCAAGCTCCTGTTGCGCTTCCTCAGCGGATCTGTACTCACGACCTCGTCCAGGCGTAGGGGCCTGGGGAGGTGGAGGATGGCCAGGAGATGTCATCGGCCCACGAGAGCTGGGGCCATTGGGGTAGAGAGACTGAGGCTGAGGAGCATTATCGGGATGCGCTGACAGGCCTTGGCCAAATACATCGCTGATAGGCGGTAGTCGATTGGCCGTTTGAGTGGCAGGAATGTGGTGGATATGAGAAGTACTCGAAAGGTTGGATGGCTGGTTGGTGATGTGACGGGTCATGGGAGCAGGATGTTGACGTCCTGTAAAGCTGTGACCCAGAGGGGCAGACTGGATAACTCTCTCATTGGCAAATTGCTCGTGGGAGGGCGCAACGATGGAGAGGCCAGGAGCCTTATTTCTTCTGGACATGCCGGGCGTCTTGGCGGCGAACTGCGACACGGGATCTTTATCGGGACCGTCCCCTTTGGCAGATTGCTGGTGAAGTCTAGCTTCGATGATGTGTCGTTGTTGTTCTCGAACTGACATGCTTCGCTGCAGCTGCTCCTTCATAACAGGGTCTTGGGTGACAAAGCCAGGAGACAGGCAGGCGATACCGACTTCTTGGATAGCAAGGCCGTCACGGGCTGTCATGGGTCGTGCCGAAGTTGGTTGGTTAGATTTGGGCGTATTCTTGGACAGGTCAAGTTTGCGTGGTCGTGGTCGTGTATGGGTCATGCTGGGAGAGCCGGGCTCCTTCTTGACGAAGATTTTAGGGGGCGCGCCGGCCGATCGTGAACTGCAGGGGCAAGTGAGCAAGGGAGTGGTCAATTTGATGGCGACGACGGAGTCAATTGATTGAAAGGATCTAGATGTACTTACGCGCTGGAGGGTGATGATTTGGCACCCTGGCCCGCAGCTTTCGGGCTGCTGCTGGTGGAGGATTGGGTTGTCGCATGCGATGTCGAAAGGTTGAGAGAAGACCGTTGTGCGGAGGGGGAAGTTCCAACGGTGGCAGCCGAAGTAGAGGGAGCGGGTAGTTCGGGGTTGGAGAACCTTTCGTGAGGAGCGGGAGAGGGAGCCATTGCAATTGCAGCACTCATAATGAAAAGAGTGCGAGGGCAGGGTTGTGGGAAATGGCGACAGGTGGTTCGTGTTGTGAGGAGACAAGAACAAGAGCGGGAACGGGGACAGCTGCAAGGAGAAGCAGGAGGGAATAGGTAGACCAGGCCAGGCCAGTCAGCGAGCCAGAGTGAGCCGAGTACCTGGGTTTTTCTGGGTCTGGGTTCTCGCGAGTTAGCTAGAGGTTTCCTTTCTTGTATTGACTAGCGAGTACAGCAGAGACAAGCCCAAAAAAACGGATCGAAACGAATCGGTCGGAGACGACCGTAAATGTAAAGTGAGACAGGAATGGAAACGATCGTGAACGTGGCCGACTCGAGTCAGCACACGATTCGATTTGACTTTGGGTGAGTCTTGTCGCGGGAGTGACGGACAAGAAAGCCAAAAACAAGAACGTCGAGAACTAATTGGAACCAGGACCACACAAAGGGAGGCCGGGCTGGAGCTGAGATGGGCTGGAAGGAAGGAACAATATTATGTATGTACCGATCGATAGCTCAGCTCAGGCGACAGAGACCAGATATAGAAGCTGGTTGGTCCGTTGGTGGTGGTAGTGGATGGTTCGACGACGGCTCGCTCTTCTCTTTGCCCTGCGCGCTCTGACTTGGGTCCAAGCTCAAAGCGGGCGGTTCAGCTCTGTGCGAGATGTGACAGAGCAGAGCAAGCAGCAAATGAAGCCAGATCCAATTTGCTTTCCCTTGTTCTGTATGCAAGACGGGAGGTAGAGAGATCGGGGGGGAGGATGGGGGATTCAGAAGGGGAAAAAAGAAAGAGGAAAAGAAAAAGAAAAGAAAAGAAGAACGAAGATGACGAACCAAGCAGGAGGATGGGTAGAGAAAGAGATAACCCGGTTGTTGTTTTCCTCTCCTCGTTACAGTTGCAGTTACGGAGTACAGTTGCGAGTAAATGAATAGGTACTAATAAGTCGAAGGAGTGAGTGAAAGACAAAGCCAGGGGGCGTCAACAGTGGCCTCGGTCGATCGACTCGCGACTTGTTTTATCAAATTCGGTACGGGGTGGGTTGGGTTGGGTTGGATGTTGGCTCCAGCCCGGCAGGCCCGTGTTTCGCCTGGTTTCGCTCAACCAAGTTGGTTTTAGTTGGTTCCCAAGTTCAGTTGGTCGTTGTAGTGGGAGACGACCACCTGCACAGAATTGCTTATTCCGTCGGGTCCCGTCGATTGGAGAGGTACAGTAGCGCAACCTCTTGGCGGCTGTCCTTCTGGAGGTGGGTGGATGGATGGATGGATGTTCCTGATAACTGTCGGGTGCCAGTCGAGTCTGGTATATAGCGAGAGAAATCCAAATCCACCTAGGTCCCAAATACAAATCGACTACAAAGATCCTCTCTTGTCGATATAGATGCTAAGACTGACTGTGTGATTAGGCCTGTAAGTACTGACGGTGCAGGCAGTTCAAGCGGCTAGCCAGCAACGTAAATATGCAAGACCGTGGGCCAAATGCAATGGATCAGCGAATGAAGCGATTCTCACAACCGTCTGTAGATGTGACGAGGGAGAGGCGTTGGTGCGGGCGGTAGCAATAGTACAGTACAGGAGTGACTGCGAGCAATCACAGATAGCCGCAGTTCCGGTTGCACGTATCAATCAAAAAGTCAGGCTCTCGAACGCAGATGGAGGTAGTAGGAGGACGCAATGGTCAAGCAAGATGGCGTCAAAATCTCTCGACAACGGCGAAGAAGGGAATAACAGCAGAGATTCACCAGATCATCAATGAGGGGTCAGTTGGGAACCTGGCGATGTTTTATTTGGTGCCATGTATTTTATGAAGGGGGGATACGGAGAAAAGTGACACAAAGCACGACGCCTGGTTCGTATCTTGAAGCAATGGATCCAACCCGGCGAGACGAGCCAAGGGACAAGGATGCGATCGAAAGAATAAAAGATTACTGGGGTGCGCCTGGTTGGCAGCAGTATGTATGTATGTACCTACATGCCTTAAGTCTGTCAAGGGGTGTGAGACTATCCAGCACCAATCCAAAGCCTCAGAAAGGACCAACTACTAATTACCAGCCTGCCTACACATACATCCCTAAAACGTAACAGGGAGCGGTGCAAAGGCCCCTATTCCAGAGCTCAGCGGTTCCTGGAGATCGAACCATACCAACTAACAGGACAAGAATAAGACAATGGCAGCTATCCGGGGCCTACATACATCCATACCTACCTAGTAGATAGAACTGACGAATTGACAGGCCAACAAACGTCCTCAAGGAAACAGCACACCAGGCATGGCGAACCAGGGTCCGGGGTGGTCCTCACCTGAATCCTGCTGCTGGCTGCACGCGACCCAAGCCAACGTCGGCCACTCGTCGTTGACCTCGTTGACATAAATTTTCCTCCCACCGTTGCTGGCGGTTTGATATTGATAATACTACCGTACTCCGTACATACATACTGGCAAACCCTTCGACGTGGCCCCAGTTGCTCCAGCTTGGTCGCAGATCCCTGTTCGAACTATCGGCCATGAACCTCATATGCGCACGAGTTGTGTGTAATTATTATATTGGCCGTGATGTGTGTTGCGATTTTCCATTCAGCCAGCATGTGATGTCCTTTGCCTCCAATGTACTCCGTACCGAGCATGGAGTATCTGGCT